TTTTTTTTTTTTTTTTTTTTTTTAGAAAATAGAGTAACGTGCTAACAGCTAAGAAGTTAATCAATATGATCCGTGTATATAATAGGTATCGTGGCTTTTTTTTTTTTTTTTGTCGCTTCAGAGTTGTTTCGGCCATGAAGTAAAGACACGTCAAATTTAATTGACCTTGCACGGAACGAGATGATTGGCAGTGAGACGATCGATATTTATACAGTACGATAGTAACGCTAATTTAATGTTGATTAACTCTAATTAACGTCGCTGCACACGACACTCGTTATCTGAGTGTGGCTCGTTCTCTTCTGGAACGTTTTTTTGCTTAAGCTATCATCGCTCGCGAAAATTTCATAATTCAGTAGTACGTACAATCGTCTGACTACTAATTCTCTTTGGTCATTTTACAACAACCCCTTTGCCAGTCTTTCTCCACTTCGTACATGTCTATTTTCTTTTTTTTTCTTTTTTTTTTTTTTTGTTTCCGTTGCAAATCCAAGCGGGCGAAAGAGAGCAGATCGTTGCCCGTTTCCCAATCTGCTGTCCTCGTGTCGCGTCGATTCGAATATAAAGTGATCCTACAGGACTACCTCTTCGGGACTATTTTTCGCCAATTGTTTTCGTCGTGTTGTTCAGCGGATCGATCTTTATCTTTTCACTTGTGCGCGTGTTTTCAAAGAAACAGAGAGAAGAAGAAAAGTAAAAGGACAAGGAAGAAATAAGAAGCGGATTTGAATTTGCTTTGTTTTTGGATAAAATACCCCGTCCAGGTCTCGCTTGCGTCGTGACGAGTGTAGAGCATCCACCGGCACGTAGCTAGTTTTCATTCCAGCTACTAAGATCCTGTCTTCTTCCTCTTCTTCGCCGGCCCGCTCTGTCTCGCTGCGACTGGTCGCTGCTAACAATTTCTACAAATAATACACTTCTCCTTTCTCTCGTGTTACCTGTTATTTATATTCTCGAAACTTTTATAATATTTCCGAGAGAATCTCTCTTTTTTTTGTTTCTGTTATTTATTAGGTAGAAGATCGCACAAGACCCTGGGGACACTTAACTCTGTTGCAAAAGTCCAATCGTTTGCCTGCCTTCGTGACCTATATTCAACTATTATTCAGTCTACCATTCAACTATTCATCGTCTACCGTGACGAGAGTTCATTACCAATACACGTACATCTCTGAAATCTTAGACCGAGATGCGCTCGCAACGGACAAGACAGGAAAACGATTAAATTTAAATATTGTTGCTGTAGGCGAGCAGCCTTGGAACAAGTTACAGTAGCGACTTGAACGCGACAGAAGTCTCAACTACACCGTTTTACGTCGATCTTCATCGAATTATTTCCCACTGGACGATAAATCGATAAATCAGCAGAGCCATGCATCTGGTACATTAGGCCTAACGCTAACGAACGAACCGGACGTCGTTAATATCGTCGTTCGTTTCACGGGTGTGTCGTTGTACGATTCTGCGGCAATCGACTTACGCGGTAAAGCCTCCTCGGTTCTCTCGTCTTGCCTTCTCGTCTGGACCAAATACGTACGGTGATAAGGAGCCTTGCCGATCACCTGCGACCGGGACAGAGCGATGAATATTATAGTAATCGGCAGCAACACGGCTGGGATCAAGAGCATCAGTTTCACTCGGAAGCGCCAAGTATCGTTTCCGCCCATACACCACCTGCGGTTCCAAAACAGCAGTATTTTCCAATTTCCGATACTAACTGATCTATCTGATCGACCGATGCTTTCAGATCTTTAATCTAAAGCAAAGTTAATTCTGCACGTCTTACGAACTTGAGTCGACCGGTTTCCTTGTTAATGGCTAACCGACATGAAGGGCAAGGGCCACCGCTGAAGAAGTCGTCGTCGTTGTACTGGTCCAAACTACTTGCGCTCCTCATCTTGTCTGAAAGCAAGCCGACCCCTTCTTCTCAGTCCGCAGTCAGTTTACCTATTCTATTCTATTTCATCGTAACACGTAGGCGCAGCCACACAAATCGCACTCGCGTCGCAGGCAAGATTAAATCTACTTTGTCCTTGACTCACTGCCGGTAGCTCTGCTCCTCGCTCCCTTGCGATTTATACATTTCTTTTACTTCGG